GGTTCGATTCCCAATCAGGACACATGCCTGTGTTGAAGGCCGGGTCCCTAGTAGGGGGCATGTAAGAGGCAACCACACATTAATATTTCTTTCCCTCTCTGTCTCTCTCCCTTCTCCTCTAATAATAAATAAATAAGATCTTTTCTTCTTATTTTTTATTGTTGTTCACGTAGAGTTGTCCCCATTTCCCCCTTACCACTGCCCCCTACCCCAGCCATCCCCACCTCCAACCCAATAAATAAAATCTTAAAAAATAAAAAGTTCACCTGCAAGTCTTCTGAACTTGTTCAGAGTTAAGAGTGTTAGGGAATGATGCAATTGTCCCCTTGGATGATTGTGCCTTAGACAATTATCGTACTTTCTTACAAGGAAATAAGGAGTTTGAAGTAAATGATATTGGTTCTTTTCAGCCTTTAATGAAATAAACAGGTGATTAAAAATAAAAGCACCTGAATAATTAGACTGACTGATATACTGTGATTAATCATTTCAACTCTGTGACTGGTTTTACTATCAATAAATTGATGTTATTAATTCACCATTTTACCTTAATGTATTTCCAGTTGCTTTCCTGTTTTCTCACCACCAAAGCCTATGCCTGTCTTTTAAGACTATATTCATTCTTCATCTCTTCAGTAACTCACACACTTGTTCATGCAGTCACTATTTTGTTATACCAGGTAGAAGGCTGAACTAGATACCAAGTACTAGGGATTCAAGGGTAAACAAAACGGACGTATCCCTGCTCTCTTGAAATCTACAGTCCAAAAGAGGTGGCCAATATTACAAACATATAAAATTTCAATTATTATTTCAATAACTCTAAGTATTATGGTGCTATGAAAACCTATAAATAGGGGTATCTGATCAAGCCAGGGAGATCAGAGAATGCATCTTTGAGAAGGGACCCTTGATCTAAACTGTATAGGACAAATAAGCCTTAAGCAAAGAAAGAAAGCAAAAGTATTCCATGCAGGACAATGGCACAAAGGCTCTACAGTGAAAGCAAACTAAAAGAAAATTCAGTGTGACTGACATAAAGATGGCTGAAGAATGAACAATGAAACTAAAGAGAACAACAAATTTTTTCAGTCATGATAGGGTTAGAAGCAAGGGACTAATATGATTGGACTTGCATTCTGTATAGCTGACTTTGACTGCAGTGTGGACATGGATTTGAAAGAGGACCAAAGTGGTATGTGAATTAGGAGGCTTTTAAATTAGTGCAGGGAAGAGATTCATAAGTAAATCAGGGTACAGGCATACCTATTTTATTGCCCTTTACAGATACTGCATTTTTTACAAATTGAAGACAAGTCCGTTCACAAGTGAGTATCATTTATTGTGGTGATCTGGAACCAAAACCACAATATCTCTAAGATGTGCCTGTATAAATTACAGTGGAGGAAGGGTAGATCAATTTTTTAAATATTTAGATAAAATAGATAGGTTTGGGTAACAGATTGGGTTTAGGAAATGTATTAGTTATCTATTGCTGTGTAAAAAATTACCTTGAAACATAGCACTTTACAATAAATATAATTTTTGTGGGTTAGGAATCAGGGTACAATTTAGCTGAGTGCCTCTGACACGGGCATAATCATAAAGCTGTAGTCACAGTGTTTCCAGGGATGCACACACTTCAAGACTACACCAGGAAAGGATTCACTTCCAAGACCCCTAGTGTGGCTATTGATGGGCCTTAAGTTCTCACTGTATGTTGGTCAGAAACACCTTGCCAGATGAACCTCTTATAAGTAGGGGGCTACTTACAACTCGCTGCCTACAAAGTGAGGACAGAGAAGGGGAAGGAAATCAGAGCAAGGGAGTGAAAGATGGCAAGCAAGAAGAAATTAAATCTCAGTCCTTTTGCCATTTTGTATAAATTAGAAGTGAGTTCCTAGGTCTACTCCACATACAAGAAGATATTAACACACACAAAGAGCAGGCATACCGGAAGGTGGAGATAACCGGAAGCCATTTTAGAAGCTGCCTACCATTTGGAGTGAGGAAACATTGTGGTATTAGCAAGACTGGGAAGAATGAAGAAGGACCTGGTTTGGAGAAGTTTTGTTTTGGATGTTGAAAGACACAGTGCCTTTAATCCAACCAACAAATACATGTTTATAAAATACCTACCATGTGCCACAGATTAAGGGATGCGATATGAAGATGAACACAGAAAAAGTCCTTATCCTCATGGAATTTACCTTTTAATAGCTGAAGACAGATAATAAACAAGCAAACAAGTAAAATTCAGATAGTGGTAAAAGGTAGATGATAACATAGGATAAAGTTGTAGGTTTCTCTTCAGCAATGGTGTCAAAATACCCTTTTCAGAGACCCAAGGAGATTGTTAAAAACCTTAAGATGTCTCCTAGATTCCTCCTGTACTCTCATTGTATTGTTTGCCTCTCTTACAGCATTTATCAAGTGCTGTTTTGTATTATACTGCAAGTTAGCCTTTGTGTTAAGCAAAAAAAAAAAATCCACATTCTCCCCCTGCATAAAAAAAGAAATCTACCCCCTAGAACATGTGAATGTTTCTGCATTTGGGAGAAAAAAAGTGTCCTTGCAGATGTGACTAACTTAAGAATATTGCAATAGGGAGATTACCTTAAATTATCCATGTGGATCCTAAAATGCCATCACAACTATCCTTATAAAAGCACACAAACAAAGGGGCAGTGTGGCCATGGAGTCAGAGATTGGAAAGATGCAGCCACAAGTCAAAGAGCAACACTCACCAGGAGCAGGAAAAGGCAAAGAGCATATTCATCTCCAGAGCCTCGAAAGGAATGCCACCCTGCTGACACTTGATTTTGGACTTCTGGTTTCCAAAACTGTGAGAGCATCTGTTGTTTCAAGCAACCCACCTTGTAGTAATGTTACTTCCTGTCACTGGATTCATGGAATTTATCACAAATTGTAATTACCCGTTTGTTCACTTATCTATATGTCTCACCCCACTAATATGGAAGCTCCAAAAAGATGGGGGCCTTCCCTATGCACCTAGCTCTTAGCATAGTGTCTAGAATTGCATTCCTCAGAATTATCTCTTAAATAAATGAATAGATAAATATATGTCCATTAGATAGCAAGTCTTCTAAGAAGAGACCACTTTATTGACCATAATTCACAAAACTCCCACCGAAAAGCCTTGCAAAAACCTGTTTAACTAGATTTGCACTCTAAAAAATCAGGAAGTCTGGATTCTAGTTATTATACTGCAATTCACAGCTATGTGATAGTCCCACCTTTATCTTGTACACATCTAGTATTTGGGAAAGTGTCAGGGTAAGTTTGTTCTTTATCTGACATTTTTAGTCCTGCTAAGGAGCAAGTCCAGGTAGCATTAATTCTCATACCCTGTACGTGATTCACAGTGCTTGGCATATTGCAGGAAAAACTAATATTTGAGACTTTTGAGGGAATTAGAATATCTGAGTTAAGTCATAACCAAAAGTTGCCAATGCATCCTTAAGCAAATTCCTAATCAATTCTGAACCTCAATATTCTCAACTAACCCTTGCTCCACGGGATTGTGAACCTGTGAACTACATAGCCTATAAGGGCTCCATGAGTGGTACTGATAAGGGAACTCAAGAGTTGGGAAATTTTAGTTTTAGGTAATAGTTAACTATCTTAGTAGTTAAGGCAACCTATTAACTATTATTTCAGAAACTGAAACTATTGTTTCAGGAAGTGAAAGAACAACCATCCTGACTCCAGGAGACCACAAGGAAGTCCACCTTTGTACCCCAGGTGGACTGCAAGCAGCAAAGTGGTATCTGAGCTATTGTGTTCAGGGAGAGACATCCTACTGCCTGAGACACAGATAAAGAAAATCACTCTGGACACAGGACCCAGGCAGAAAATCACCGGTCCACGGATGACAGGATGTTAGGGAAATTGCCAGAGTTCAGCTCTTATCTTATATACCTCTTTCCTGAATTCCAAACCGCTTGCCTATACTTTTTCCCTTGAATTCCAAATCCCTTACCTATACTTTTTCCTCATAAGGCTGGCCTGAAAGGAAATGCAAGAAGGTCTGTTAGGGTACATAACCTGCCATCTTCTCTGATGGGAGGCCATCTGAATAAAGTGCCCATAAAGATTGAATCTGGCCCTGCTTATTTGTTCTGGTAGAGACAGGGCAGCACAAATGCTGGCACTAGCTGTCCGGGTTTCAGTACCTGATTAATAACCCTATGCCACTGACCTAACTCCACCTTGAGTGCAGCATCAGAAAGGAGCTCCAAACCAGCTCCATTACTTCTTGAGCAAGCTATTTCACTTCCCTGAGCCACAGTTCCTTAGCCCAAAACGGACAATAATATCTACCTTGTAAAAGAGGTTCTGACATGGAAACTACATGAAGTAACTGTAGAGTTATACTTACAAAGCCTGGCTCATAATGCAATTACTTTGAGGAAGAAAAAAAAACTTTTTAATATGTGCACTGATCTTGAATAAATACTCCCACTTACTTGGGCCTTCTAAACCAATGGAAGGAGCTGGCAAACCCTATTATTGCCTCAACAAATCCGAGTTTGGGAACCTTCAAACCAAGGCCATGTGAGGGTTTCCTGATTCCATCACTCTTTCCTTCAGTAACCTATCAGTGATCAGTGTTTATAAGCAAGACAGACCAAACGGATATGCCAGGTTTAGAGAAGAATCCAGCAACTGTGGCAGCTCTTACCCCAGGCTAAGTTCAAGTTTTTTCTGCAGACACCGGTCAAGACCTAAAGACAGCGCGTGTAAAGTACTGGGCGGTCCGCCCTCTCTCAGCGACTCCCTCAGTTGCCTGGGTAACGCATGCGTCACCGCGTAGCTTCCTGCGCCTGCCGACCAGAAGCCCAAACAGCGCAAAGCGCGGATGCCTTTTGAACGGATGGGTGAGGCCAGAGTGTAGGCGCTGCTAAGCCCACCCACCTCCACGCCCCTACTCGGAACAGATTCAGCAGGGGCCGGAGCACCAGCAGCAGCGCGCCTTTTTTGTCCGGGCGAGCGCGGGTTATCCGTAGCTCCGTGGCCGGGCGCCCCGTCACGTAGGTTACGCACACAATCCCTCTCCAGGGTCCGCCTCGGCAGCTGCGCCCTCGCACACGGGGCACTCCAGCGGCCGTGACGGTGCTGGTGCGTGTCGGGGGCCCGAGGTGGAGCTGACCCAAGGCTGAGAAGAGCCTGAGCGAGTCAGGGCCGACCACGAAGCCCTACACCCGCCCTTGGGGTTGTGGGGTTCCCGCCCGCCGTTTTCCAGCTGTCTGGGCCACGTTACTCGCTGGAGGCCCAGAACTCCGTGCCCCACAAGCCCTGGCTCCCCTGCGGGAATGTTCAAAAATGAGTACCAGGTAACCCAAAAAAAACGGTCTCCAACCTGTCTGTATAGCTTTCTCGGCTTGGGTAAGGTAGCTGCTGCTCGGGGTGAGGGCAAGGCTCCCCCCAGCCTCCCATATTATCTTTTTTAGGCTTAAGAAGGACTTAATGGATGAGTGTTCTTCATTCAAACAGGAAAAACAAAGAAAGCAAGTAACGACTGGGCTTGTGATTTGACTTTGTTCAGTCTCCAGCTGAGTGGAGCTGCTCAGTGGAACATAAGGAGTGCCTGAGATTCTAATTAAAATGCAGATCTTAAACCCCAACCAGACTCCTAAATCAGAATCTCCAGGACAGAGCATGAGTTTTAACACACGCCTTGGGTACTCACTGTTGATGCACACCGGTGTATCAGAAGTTATTTAGGAAAGAGTGAATGAGTGAGCACATTGAATGGGTTAAACCTAGAATGAAAACAAGCCCTGATCTATATGCTATTTTCTCCAAACCTGGGAGTCAGTGATTCTCAAACACAGGGGTATAGTAGGATCACTTAGGATACTTGTCAAAATACAGATTTCCTGACTCATGCCAGATCTAGTTAATCAAAGTCCTCGTAGATGGGGCTAGTTTATTTGCCTTTGTAACAATTACTCTCCAGTTCATGCTAATTCAGGTAATCCAAAGATATGGGAAAAAACTGATTCTGGGTCTTCCTAGAGTGTCTCAATGCCTGACCTGTTTTCCTCACTTCACTGGCATCTCCCTTCCTGCTTTTCCTTTGTCCTTATCTTCTGCACTCCACCTCTGCCTGAGGTCACACTCTCAACTTGCAATATTTTCCATCCTAGTCTTACTGGTAGAATGAACAACTTTGTTGCTGTGCCAGAACAGTCCTCCACTGGTCTACAACGCTTTGTCCCTTCTATCTTTTCATCAGAAGTGCCTTCTCGTGAGTGTCCTGATGGTATTTTGCAGTTCTCTTTCTTCCATTCCAATTGTCAGAATGGTTTCAGAGCGTTTAGGTAGAATATATTGTTGTATTGGAAAGCATACTCCTACTGTGGGAAACTTGGAAAACAGGAGAAAAAGAAATGGGGAGTGGCCGTTTTCTATCTCACCAGGCATAAGGATTTTTCTTTTTAAAAAAGCAACAAAATAAATACTGCCTTAAATTTAAAATTCATAGTGAAATATGACCTGACCCCAGGCACTAAAGTGATTCCACACACAGTTTGCACATATACTGCCCAAGGAAGAAGTGATTATGTCTTAAGTGATTATGTCTTAACACTCAGAAGCAAAAGTAGCTTTATGTTATTGAGAAAAATTAAAAGCTAGACATTCTTTACAAATATCAGACAGATTTGTTCATGTGATGCCTATATTTCAAACAGGCCAAAAAAGAAAACCATATTTAGTCTTTATTTCAGATTTTCAATGTCTTGCAATAAATTCTTCCTCAAAGATAATCATCTTGTTTAATTTCTCCCCTTTACTGTGAAAGGTGATGGAAATATAGTCATGTATTTAGTGTTTTTGCATAAGCATTTCTCTCCATGTTCTTCTCAGGTTTATAGTAGAAACCATGTAGCATATCTATAAATAAGATTCTCTATTTTTCTTATACAGATTTTATAGATTTCCAAATTAATATATATTAAATATACACAGTGGGGTAAAAGTAGGTTTACAGTTGTGAGTCTGAAACACAGAGTTTATTCTTGTATCATTGTTTAATAATTACTCTATTTCCATATTAACAACTATAAACCTATTTTTGCTTCTCCCTGTCTAAAAAAATTCTTAGGAATGCTCAAAATAAGAGTCATTCTTCCTTTCATTCGCTCCCAAACTTTTTTACTGACCAGATGAAACCACCATATTTTGCTGTGTATAATGTGCACTTTTTTGTTCAAATTTTGTAGGGAAAAATAAGGATGTACATTATACATGGGTAGTATCTGAAATACCTTGTATCTGTTCCTGTGTTTTGTAATTATTTGTTACATAAAAGTTCTTGTACCATATGTTAAAAAATAAATGCTATAATTCAATTATTATACAAAAAACACACAAATATCTAAATATAAACAAATAAATAATTAAATTAAAACAAAAGATCTTTTTCCTAGAAGTTCGGGCTGAAAACAAGGGAGTGCATTATACATTGCAAAATATGGTATTAATTTGCCCTTTATTGAATAATTATTGTTGGCACTGTTGAGCTTTTGCTATGTGTAAGGTATTGTGCTTGATGGTTTATATTTACTATTCATTTTGCAGATGAAGAATCAAGAGGTTAAGTAACTTCAAGGTCAGGTAGTTAATAAATGGCAAAGCTGGTATTGGAACTTAGGCTCGTATGACTAAAAATCTTGAAATGAAAGATTATTATCAGAATTTATTAGTCTGGGTTAAACAGGATGTTTTGTAAGCAAGATCTATATATGTTAAATCAATGGCCTTCACACTAAGAGACTGTAGGTTTCTATGACACAATTATTTAATGTTTATCATGATTTGAAAGCAATACTTAAAACAAATAATCCAGTGTGAATTGAATCGGGCTAGTTACAATCAAGGTATAAAGTAGGAATAATAACAGGGATTGTGTTTCCTCCCAGATCTACTTACCTGACAGAAGCCTGAACAGTGGTTGTCGACTATGTGGTGGGTTGTATCTTCTCCTTAACTGTGTCTTCCACTTTAAATATTTCATTTTTGTTTTCCAGGGGGGTGCATTTGTTGAAATCTTCAGTGCTCAGGGGAAAAATCCTGGAGCAAAATGGAAGATTCTTGGCAGTCCATCTGTGATTTGGAAAGTAAGTATGAGGAATTAGAGCCACCTAAAACCTGGGAAGAAATGACTGATGGTTATAACAAAAGGGGTTTGATCAGTTTTCACAGTTTTGCCTGTTCCTTCACTCCAAACTCCTTTCATGACATTGTTGGCTGCAGTTCTCCCAGACAGCAGTCCTCGGTTGTTTAAGACTTAGGCACCCAGCTCACAGCCCTTCTCTGTACACCAAGCCCTGCTGTTGTTTTAGGTGATCTCAGTATCTGTGAGGAAAATCTCTCCAAACCCTTAGCTTCTTAGTTTCTTTATTTCTTCATTTCTAGTGACTTCTTCCACTCTACTTTAGCACCCATTCCCGCTGTCACACCCTGTACCTCATCATCACAAACTCTAGGGCCTCTGAAATTACTGAGGCATCAAGACATCCCTCTTTGACCCCAATCTTCAATTCTTGAGTTGCTTGCCCAGTTACTCCCACTGTGTTTGTTCTTCAACCTGTAATTCAGATGCTTAGGCCATTGGCTATTTTACTTTCCCTTGTGTTTGGTTTTATTTATGTATTTTCCCTGTCCTCACTTCCTTTTCTCTCCAGCCCAGAATTCATAGTCCATGATTTCAATCACTGCCTGGTCAAGACCTTGAATGCCCTTGCTCCTTATCCTTTCATCATCCCCACCTTGCAAACACCAGCCCTTTCTGAATCCTGAGTCATCTGTCTGCACCTGGGCTTCTCAGTATCTTTGGAGAAAATGTCTACAGCCTTTCAGATTGATGATGCTATAAATTCAACCCAAACAGCCCAGAAAGGTCTCCAAAATAATTCTTTCTTAATTGTCTTCAGGTTTTCAACCACCAACTCCTTACCCTCATCCCCAATCCATACCCAGACAGGTATTCTTTACTCACTCACCAGAAGACCTCACACCCTATTTTATGGGGCAAACCAATGCCATCAAGCAGAAACTACTTCAGTTTTCTGCTACCAGATCTAAAAACCTGTGTCCATCTCTATCTTCTCTTTCTGTTCTCTCCTGTACACTCGAGAGAAAAATGCCTTTTTAGGAACTCTGTTCTGTGCATAACTAAAACTACTACTAATTGAGTGCTGACTACTTGCCAAGCACAGCATCAAGTATGTTACATATGCTATGTAATCTATACAATAGCCTGGTAGTCTGTACAAAGGTAGGTACCTTTATGCCCCTTTTATAGACCACAAAACTAAGGCATGGAAAGGGTAAGTGTCTTGCTCACAGATGAGTTATACAGCTTTTACTATGAGTGAGAGATAAACGATGCTCTGAGGGTATACAGCAAAGAAATTAGGAAACGCTTCCCGAGGGAATGACATTTGATCTCTAAAGAGCCAACTAGACACTGTATGGGGCTGGTGGAGAGCAAAGCATTTCAGGGAAATGCGCATACAAAGCCCTTGTGTCAGCAGAGAGCTTAGAATTTTTAAGGCTAGGATTGCAGACACAGGAGAAAAATGCAAGGTAAGAGGTGGGGTTTGAAGAACTGGGCAAGGGCCCTAATGAACAGATCAAAGCTCCAAAAATAGAACTAAGCTATGAAAAGATAGCCAGCCTATCAGATGCACAGTTCAAAACACTGTCCAAGGATGCTCACAGAAATGGTTCAGCCAAAGAACTTACGTGTATGATCCATGGACATGTGGGGGGGGGGGGGCTGTAGGGCAAAGGGGAATAAACAGGAGAAAAATGGGACAACTCTAATAGCATGATCAATAAAATACATTTAAAAAAAGACAAAAACTGGGCAGGGACCAGTGTCTGCAGAGGCTGATGGACTTGGTTGAAGATTTTGGTAAACTGTTAAAAGATTTTAAGTATATGTCCAACTTGCATGTAGATGGAATAAATAATACATTTTGTGTGTGTATATTCATTTCAAATATATAAGAGATGGTATTATGATGGGTATAATAAATTTATTATTAAGGTGTTACTTAATTCTTAGCAGCCATTAGTTTCAGTGCATTTCTTAACATACACAAAAAAGGAGAGTGGGAGGATCTGTGAAATACTTTAATGTGAAAAGGGAGTTTTTATACTCAACAATTAGGAATGTGGTTTATAAAAAGAATAACCATTTACATTACCACTTTGACTCATGGAAATTGGACTCTGATGTTAAGAAGTTTTATCCTGGTTTCTTTTGTTTTGTTTTTTCTGTTTCTCTGACCTTAGTTTTTTATGTCACCTTAATTGTAACACTTTAATTTGTACTGGCTTTAAGTAAATAATACAGAATTTCGAGTTACAGCACTAGTAAAGAAATAGGCAGTGATAAATTTTGTTCTGAACCATCACCAGAAATTAAGGAACTTTCAGACTAGATACAACATAGGTCAGATGATTCATTATACTGTAACAGGTCATGATGTTCAGCCTGTACTATTAGACAGAAATACGTAGATTAGAGGGGAGGAAGGGTAAGTCAGCTCTGGAAACTCATAATTAGTAACTCGAGAATCCCTTAACTTGGACAACTTTTTTTGCTATTTGAAGGTAGAGTGCCTTGGTATAATAGAGGATTTGCCAAGTGGCTTAGTGTGGCTTCTGTATGCCAGTTCCCAGCAAGTGTCAGGGTAAGAGTAGCAAGGCCTAAGTCTATTTTTAAGGCATTTGAATCTGGAACTTGTTTCCTATTCGTTTTCAGCTCCCATTTTATAATAGAAGCCAGATAAAATATACTTCAGTTAATATTGTTTTCATTTCTGTTCTGTAGGAATTTGATAAAGAAGTTAAAAGTTTTGTGTTTGTCCTGGAAGGCAGCAGCCAAACAAACAAAATTCAGTTACCAAAGGAAAATAAGCAGATCCGTAAGTAAGGTTTTTAATATTAAAAGTTAACATTTGATGCTTAACATTACATTTTTAAGTCTGATACAGAGGCATTAGTTTCACTTTCACTGGCACCTGTTGACATGAAATGATAGAATTTTTTTTTAATTTAGAAAGTAACATTATGTCTTGCTTTAAAAAAATATAGTCTGCTTCACTGTTTACTAGAAATCTAGTTGTATTTTTAAGAAGATTTAGAGGTTTATTTAATAGTCATTAATTACAATAGTAATGAATTTATTGAGCACTTACTATGTGCCTGTGACTTTCTAAGCATTTCACATTTAACTTTTAATCCTCACAATAGCTCTTCTATAGATGAGCACACTGAGGATGGATGGTTCCTTGTCAAGAAATCAGGTAGTTAAGGCTGTTGTGAAATAGGCTGTCAGTAGTTCCTAAATTATAGAAAATCAATTTGTGAGAAAAAATTATGTAAAATATAGTATTAAGTGACATATAAATTTATATACCTTAAAAATATTAATATCTAACAAGGATAAATATTAATATGTGTTTTAACAAAAGCCCCAAGAGTGGATTTCAGTTCTTACTTACTTTGGAAATTAGGGTCAGCTTTTTAAGGCAGAAGAAACCCTGAGATCACCTAAATTTAAGATCAGAAGCCTAGTTATTGGCAGAACTGGGATTAAAATTTGAGGCTCTGCTGCCAAATTAGGCTTTGAGTAAACTAATGTGATTTAAGAAAATTATTTTTCAAAATGATTGATCAGATTTTTATCAACTTTGTTCTGTTTTGACTATAGAATTTAGGTGATTTAGCAAATATAAGTAGTCAGTTATTTTTTACACTCATCATTTACTTACTCCTTCCTTCAGTGATTAAGAACACTTACTGGATACTACTGTGTGCCAAGCACTATGAAAAGACAGTTCTTGGTATCTGATTTTCTCACTTCAATTCAGTTTTCTAACTGTTTACAGAATCTGTGTTTTATCTACCATTTCAAGCTACTACATGCATGTTTTAGATTTCTGAGATGTAAACCAAGCCATAGAAGTGATAGATGGGAGGTAATTAATTTTAAAATGGTTTGTCAGTGTTTATTTCTAAAATAAGAAACAGAAAGAATAATCATTGTTAATTTTACTAATTTATTACAATAAAAGAATAATGATTTTCCAATAGCTCCTACTTTCTTAAAAATAACAGATTTGACTTTCTTAAAAATAACATTTGTTTTTTTTTATTTTCATAAAAATTTATGTATGTAATGAGATGAGCTAAGATGATCCAGGGAAACATTTTAATTGTAGATTATTCTTCTTGCAGGAGACACGTTCCATCTTTTTAAAGGATATTGACTTTGTGAGAGAAATATATTTGATTTGTAGGAACATGACTTAACCTAAGCCAATGTTCTCCTGTTTTTTTCTTATTGTTGGCCTGTACGTCCATGCGATGCCCTCAGCATCCGTGAACATGATCACAGTATTAGCAAAGTCAAGTCACTTCTAGTAACATTTCTCAGTTTGCTCGGAAAAATATGTCTCCTCTACCAAACACTCTGTGTCTAAAGACAAGCTCCCATTTCCAACTTTTATCTAAAAATTTTTTTAGAAAAATATTTTTTCAGTGTGTTATAATTGCTTTTTAAATGGGAAGATGATCATTTTAATTGGAAGAAACAGAAGACTCTTTTAATGTATTTCTTGTACAATACTCTGTAATTAAAAATTAATCTGACTCTTCTGTAGCATGTGCAATGCTATAACCAGCGAAACAGTTTATACAGTCTTTAAGATTATGTGTAATTTTTGTATTAATGCTTTTAATATTAATTATTTGTAATTTTTGATAACAGCTTTATAGTTGTTTCTGCTTGTATAAAATGACCTTCTGTGTGAAGTTGTTATGATTAAATTTAAATGGCATGCCTGGAATAGAGAATGGCTTTCAATTAACATTTCTAAATCTAGTTCAATTACCATTATGTATTTCTATTTTGAGAGTAAACACACACTTTATTTATGCAAATTTGACATTAGGTACCCTATTATGTTTTCTATTATATTAAGTGCTTCTGAAGAAAGTTTAACAATGAAATTAAGTATGTTTAACTTTTTATATTAAATGGCAGTATTTCTGAATTACATTTGAGCATCTCTAAATACATCAGTTTTTTTCCTTAGCAACTTATCACATAAAGTGATATTAATGATCACATTGTGCATTTCTTTTGTGTAGGAATCTTGCATCATCTATTTTATAGCCTACCTTAGGATATCTTATACAGTTGCTGTTTAATAAATTTGTTAAATTTGTCACATAAAGACAGGATAACACAAATAGGTTATAATTTCTAAATGTAACCAGTTGGCCTTGGTAATGAGACTTGAGGAAATCATTAACCAGATAAATAAATAAATTCATGCTGCCCTTCACCGTGGAACATGTTATATCAAGTTGAAGCATCTCTGCCACACATAAACATCTATCATTTGAATAGGCTGTTCCAGGACTTTCTATTTGAGGCTTATCTTTGAAACCAGTTTTGCTTTGCCTGTGACATCGGAGCCCACTGGTATGTCTCAGGATCAGCATTCCCTGAAGCCCTGTATTAATCTAAGTTTCAGTTGCTTATCTTTATGAGGTTTCCCCCAAGCCTCCCCCTGCCCCCAATTTGCTATGCTTTTTAAAATAAATCTCATAACTTTCTCTGTTTAAACCTCTTCAGTGGCTTTGACCTTACCAGTCTACTGACAGTGCTCTTGTGAGAGTCAGTCGTGTTCTCTATTCCAGAATCCAATGGCCAGTTCTCAGCCCTCATCTTGCCTAACACATCAGCAGCATTTGACCAGGTTGACACTCTCCTCCTTGATCTTCATTCTCCAGGATGCCCACTTCTAGTTTCCTTTCTGATTCACAGGTCTTCCTTCTGGTTTCCTTTCATAGTTCTTCCTCTTCTCCCTAACTCGACTTAATGTTGCAATGTGCCTGGATCTAGTCCTTGACCCTCTCTGTACTTTTACTCCCTGTTTATGCCATCTCTGTCTTACTCCAACTTATATTTCCAGCTCATACTTCTCTCTCAAACTCAAGACTTGTATTTTTCGGTTGCTTGCTTGACATTTCTACTTGGACAGCTTTTCCCTAGAAATTTCTCATCTTCCAGCAGATACCCCATCTCAGTTCTTAGCAACTTACCTTTCAATTACTCAAACCAAAAACTCTTATATAATATCAGTCTGATTTTTCTTCATTCAGTCCATCAGGAAGATCTTGTTGGTTGTGTTTAAGTTAGATTCATTCTCTGACTACTGCTTCTTGCCACCTCCAATACTACCACCCAGGTCCTAGCCACCATTATCTCATGCTTGGAATACTGCGGTAGTCTTTTAATTGGCCTCCCTGTTTCTGACTTGTCCCCATTGTCCATTTAGCAACTAGAGCAATACTTGTAAGGAACTCCTCTGCCGAAAATGTCCCATCTCTCTCAGAGTAAAAACCAGGGATCCGTCGGATCCTGCAGTATTGGTGCCCTCCTAACTCTCTGTCTTCACCTCCTATTACTCGTTCCCTTGTTCACGCTGCTGCAACCATACAGTTCCCCTCATTGTTCTCAAACGTAGCCTGGTAGGTTGTCACCTTAGCACCTCTGCCTAGAGCTTCTTTTTCCCAAATAGCTATGTGGCTCACATGCTCCCCTTCTTCAGACCTTATCTCTGGCCTGGGCTTTAGATCCTTGCCACACTTTTGACCCCTTTTACCATGCTTTGCTTTTCCCAGTAGCTCTCATCACCATTTAACATGCCATTTATTTATTTAATTGTTTTCTCACCATTACCAGAAAGTAACTGCCACCAGCACAGAAACTTAGTCTATTTTGTTCAACTAAAATAGAGCCTGGCACATAGTAAACATCTACTAACTCTTTGTTGAATAAATTAATGAACATATGAGTGGCTTCCCATTGATTTTAGGATGACCCATGTCCTTCACATGGCCTTGGAGGCCGTGAATGATTGAGTTTCTAGCTATTTGCCAGACTTCTGTCCTGCTGCTTTCCCCCTTCTGTCTTTTCTCTCAGCCCCTTAGGCCTTTTAACTTTACCTACTCTACTATGGCCTTTTTCACTGTACGATAAAGTATTCTCTCTTCCTATAAAATGTGTTCCTCTCTCCTACCCTCATTTCTTTTGCTCAGTCATCCCTGCTTATTCTTCACAGCTGAATTCCAATGTTATTTCTTCAAGAAAACCTTCACTCATCATACTTTTCCCTGTAAGGACCCAGGATTATATGCTGTCAAAGCACACTGACATTCTTCATGGAACTGGCCTATAAATTCTAAGAGGGCAGAGACCATGTCTGTCTTAGTCACTAAAAAAACTTCAACACTGAGACTTGTACATAATAGGTGCCTAATAAATCTTCACTGAATAATAGATCTAATTTAATTTATATAAATAGTCCTGTGACTTGTAACTTAAGTTACTGACCTAGTTTATACATGAAAAGTAAAAGAGCCCAGACAGGTTTTCTAATATGCCCAAGGGATGTGGAATAACCCATAATGAAGGCACAATGTTTCCTGTTGTCTGTATTGAAGTGAGGGGTGTGGGTTAATGCACTGTCTGTGCCAATGCGGTGACAGGAACCAGTAACTAGTTTCAGTCATGCTCTATCGGGGCACTCTTCGGACAGCGTAACACCTGTAAAATGTATCTGCGGGCTACAACTGTCATTTTTTATGATGAAACAACTGTAAACCACTGTTTAAACATTTAATGGTATTTTACCAATTCAATGTGTTTTTAAAATATTCAAAAGAAAAAATGGCCTGATCCCTTAAAAATAGAGGTAGTTTGTCTCAGGAAGAGAACATTGCAAAACTGCAGAAATCTGAATATTTCAGTAAAAAGACTAAATTTTTATGAATTTTATGTACTTAATGGCATTTTTTGACTAACAGTAGTTCCACATTCAGCATTAGAGCGATTTTAAATATAATGTAGACATGGAGAGGTCATGTGAATTTACTAAGCCACTGGAAAAAATATTACCGTAGAGTTTACTTAGCTTTTCTGACACATAGGATCAGTGTATGCCAGATGTTATTAAAGTACTTTTAAAGTGACTTTTTCTTTTTCAGATCATCACCGTATAGTATTGTCATACTTCTTTTATTCTTAGAAGTGAAGCCTTTTGGAAACTAGGGCTTCTATATGGGAGAAAATAGAATTACAAAGGTTTCTTTTTTGAGGGCAAGTGTCTTTCATATCTAAAAATGTTCATACAGAAATGCCCAGTATGTGTAGCTCTTTGTATTTGAAGAGAACAGTGCTGATTCAGTGAGATTTAGCACCTAAATTAGGGGCTTTTTTGTAAAGACTGCATTGCATTTATCCTGGTGCTCTCTCAGCTCTATTTACAGAGGCCATTGTGCAGTGGAAAAATACCATAGAGCCAATCAATGGAAGATGCGAAAGGGATTGATTAACGATGGTTTATTTAGGTTGGCCTCATTTTGATATCTAATTTTGGTTTCGTAGTCCAGGACCCTGGTTGTTCCCCTGGCTTTTCCATAAATATGGTACAATCTGATTCTTAGAGAATGTTCTAAGGTCAGAGTCTGTTATGCCCTGTTTTTATTACATTGCTTACTCCACGGATGGCTCTAAGCTCAGTATTTTAAGCAAAAGTTATCTTTGTATGTTTCACTTAGAAATATTAAGCATATTTGACAAATATGTTAATTGTTTAGATACTAAATTCCTTGTATAATATAGGAACTATAGTGTATGTTTAAGTTGTTCAGGAATGTTGTTAAACAGTTTACCAAAGGAATACAGACTATTTAAACATGTATTATTACTTTAAAATACTTAAATTTGTTAAGCCTACTAATTCTGAATAAAGAGTTCCTAATCCATTGAGAGCATCATAATTGACAGATCAAGCAAAAGTTCAAAATGTAAGAGGAAAAGAATTAAGTATATGAATCTGTATGGGTAATATGAAATTCATTGATTTTTGCAGTTGCAGACTTCACCTATCAAAAGTGCCAGGGGATTGGTTTTTCTCCAAACATTTTTAATCAAGGTAGAGCTGGTGATGGGGAATAAAAGTTATCAGCTCTTAATTTGTGAGCATTAAGTTAATTATGTTCCTCCATCCATCTCAATGTGGATACCGTATTTAAAACCATATACACTATATGTGGCTCATCAGACCTTCAGGTGTAGTTGTTAGAATTGTTTTTCTTGATCTGTTGTTTTTTATTAAGTTGTTCAGTACAGTTAAAACTGTCAGTGAATAAAAATAATTGCTAAATGCTTTTATGGCTGCCTTGATGGGAATCTATGGTTCAATTTTATATGTCTTTATGTATATTCTCTTGCAACCTATTAAAAGTAGTAAATAAAACTTTTTTTAACTTTCATAAAAATTTCACCAAGCCCACAGATGGGACTTTAAAAGGCATCATTTTTTGTTAGAGTTTGATTCGACTTTCATCAATTTTTTTGCTTTCATAATGAGATTGTAGGTCAGGGGTAGTGCTATTTCAGTTCTATATATTACTGAAATGCCAAATACTTGAGCTTGTTGATAACCTTTGATTATGTTTGTCTATACGCACATATAAATGATTTAGACATATGACTGTATATTTTCCCCTCTCGTTCTAGTTGGACTGATCCAGAGGTTTCTTGTACTTCAGATTTACATACCCCTGGGACAAGACTTCTCCACCGAATTGCTGTAAGATATACAGAACTTCTTTCAATATTTTATATGTATTAGACATTTGATCAAACAATATAAATAGTTGTTAATTACAAGTGGCAGTTTTTACATTAAAGAGCAGCGACTTATCAAGTTGACAAGTAATTAAACTAATTGAGTCATACTTCTTAGATATCACTAGTCTGGCATTTCCCTAGGGGAAGGAAGCAAATTCCATCTGTTTTTAAAACATCAGAGGATTATGAATTTGGCAATAAACAACCTATAACTTGAAGAAATAAATAATCCAAAAGTTTGAGATTTTGATTCAAATAAGGAGTGATGCTATGTTTTGTGCTACCTGCTGTTGAAAACTATGGTTTATTTAAAATTGATTGAGGTACTGCCCAAGATGGAGGCATAGGTAGAAACCCTTCACTTTCTTGCACAACCAAAAGGAGGATAACAACCAATCTAAAATCAATAAACAAGCAGAAGTGCCAGAAAATCAAACTGCATGGAACTCCGACAACCAAAAAATTAAAGAAAAAGTCAACCAGAGCAACCAGACTGGTGTGCCAAGAAAAAGAAATATGGCCCAAATGAAAGAACACAGCAAAACTTCAGAAAGAAAACTAAGCGATGAGGAGATTGCCAACCTATCTGATGGAGAATTTGAAGCCCTGGTAATCAAAATGCTCACAGAACTGATTTAGCTTGGTCAAAGAATGAAAAAACAAATGAAAGATACCCAGAATGAAATAAAGAAAATATTCAGGGCACCAAGAGTGACAGGAAAGAAACCAGGACTCAAAGCAACGATTTGGAACAAAAGGGAAAAATAAACATCCAACCAGAACAGAATGAAGAAATTAGAATTCAGAAGAGTAAAGAGAGATGTATGAAGCTCTGGGACAGCCTGAAGTGTTCCAATGCCCGAATTATAGGGCTGCCAGAACGAGAACAGCAAGAAATTGAAAATTTATTTGAACAAATAATGAAGGGAAACTTCCCCAATCTGGTAAAGAAAATAGACTTCCAGGAAGTCCAGGAAGCCCAGAGAGTCCCAAAGAAGTTGGACCTAAAGAGGAACACACCAAGGCACATCATCATTAAGTTACCCAAGATTAAAGATAAAGAGAGAATCCTAAAAGCAGCAAGAGAAAAGGAGATAGTTACCTACAAGGGATTTCCCATTAGACTATCAGATGATTTCTCAAAAGAAACCTTGCAGGCGGCAAGAAGGAGCTGAAAAGAAGTATTTGAAGTCATGAAAGGCAAGGATCTACATCCAAGATTGCTCTATTCACCAAAGCTTTCATTTAGAATGGGAAGGCAGATAAAGAGCTTCCCAGATAAGGTCAAGTTAAAGCCACTATTAAATGAAATGTTAAAGGGACTCATCTAAGAAAAAGAAGGTCAAAAATATGAACAATAAAATGACAACAAACCCACAACTATCAACAAATGAACCTAAAAGAAAAGAAAAACAGTAAAAACAAAAACTAAGCAAACAACTAGAACAGGAACAGAATCAGAGAAATGGACATCACACAGAAGTAGTTCAGTGGGGAGGGGGGAGGGAGAAATGGGGGGGGGAAAGGCACAGGAAAGAAGCAAAATTGGTAGGCATATGGGGAGAGGTCAAAAATGGTATGGGAAACAGAACTCAAAGAATTTATATGTACAACCCATGGACATGAACTAAGTGGGGAATGAACGCTCAAGGGTAGGAGGGTGTGGAGGGGGGTAGGGGGAAAATGGGAAAACTGTAATAGTATAGTCAATAAAAATACTTTTAAAAATGGATTGAAATACCTCATTTTAATGTTGTCTAATTTACATCACACATATTGGTCCTTTCTGCTTACATAGATGGTTTGCAATATGTTTTAAATGATCTTTCTATGAATAGATTGTTTAGCAACAATGAGAACTTTTACTCAGTTGTGCTGTCTTTTATCTGAGATAATTCTGAGAATGAAAACATTTGATTTGTACAATATACTCCTATAGAATTGAATACTATTTAATACAGAGTGAGGCAGTTGTTCATACAGAAAATAATACAATAACTGCTAAATAAGAATACAAGAATAAACTGTGTGTTTCATGTACTCACAACTGTAAACCTACTTTTGCCACACCCTGCAAATTTGCTTACTTTTATTACATTACATTTAAGGCATGCTTTTTTAAAATTTGTTTTTGTAATTAATAGCTGCCCAAGGTCTAAGCTTAGGCTTTTATTTTCCCTGCTTGAATAAACGACTTTTCCTATTAATGGAGGTAAGTTTGTACTAGTTGCACTTGTACAAACTAAGAGAAAGGAGGAACTTCTTTAATAAAATGATAATAACAAATTTAAGGTTATTTATTTCCCTTTACGTGAATTAGCATATTAATAGTTTGTGCAGATGTTGGTAAAATATGAACTTTAGCTAATAATACATGTTCTTATTTTCTTGAGTAATAAAGGATTGAGATTTGTTGGTAAATCTCAGTGAACTTCTAAGATTTACTATTATCATCTGACTTGGTTACCAACATTCTTTAAAATAGTTCTTATAGTAATAAGAACAAAACATTATTTGATACTGCCCTGGCTGATGTAGCTTAGAGGATTGAGTGCGGGCCTACAAACCAAAGGATCCTGGTTTGATTCCCAGTCAGGGCACATGCCTGGGTTGCTGGCCAATTCCCAGCAGGGGACGCATGAGAGGCAACCATATGATATTTCTCTCCCTCTCTCCTTCCCTTTCTCTCTAAGATAAATAAATAAAATCTTTTAAAAAACACATTATTTAATACTTTTATGTGTCTCTTTCTGGATCTGCAAAAAAAGCATTTTGAAGGCCCTGAAGACATTCTGCATGTGCAGAGTACCACATAAAGCTTTACTCTTGGTGTAGGGGAAATGGTTTCCTACCAAACGGAAGAAGGCAAATTATATTTGTAAGCTTGTTAAGTTCCTCGCATAGAAGTCCACTTCAGCCCCTCTTGTTTTCCTGATGTCCACCCGAGTATCTCCTTCCAGTAGATCTGGAAGGATCTACTTCGAGATCCTTCAGAAGCAGTGGTGGGGCACTGATGGGTGGCCTTCGGATAAACGCTGGGCAAGACACGTGCCTGAACCTTTAGTACTGATGAGCACTCTTTTTTTTTTTTATAACAAATTAAGCTTTATTTGTGTCTCTAAACACTTAAGCTTGTGACCCCAGCCTAAGCAACATACTGTTATAACTAATTTAATAATAATTAAAGCTTTAATTGCTCAGAAATTGGTAAGTATCTTAGGTTTAACTTAGTCCTGGCAAGAGAACAGCTGTTATAAGTAAGCCTGACTACTCCTTGTTAGCCTAATCTGTAATTAATGCTGTTGGCCTGTTTAAGGATGAGAAAATATTTTCAGAGGTAATGGGATTAATGATTAGATTTTTAATTCAGTTGACTGTAATCATAATTCTCTTGTTCTCACATCCACATGAACATTTGGGTTTTCCCAATGGTTTTTGTTTTATAGTTTTAGCAAGATAAATATCTTACAGACACAAGGTAGAAATTATTAAATAACATAGTGAAGACATTCTCAGTCCTGCCTTTGGAATTTATCAGATTATAATACCTTAACTCTGAATTTGCATTTGTTGCTAGTAGATAATAAGTATATTTTGCTGTTATAGGAAGTAATGAATGAGATTGTGCTTTTACAAGGAAGAATGATGAGTGTAGCTTGTTTCTCTAACTATAGCTTTCCCCCTTCTTTAATGGAAGGACTTTCTTTTAGCACCATTAGTGTTTTACTGTATTTCTAGCAGCATACCTCCAGGCTATTTTAAATAATACATTTCTCTCATAAACTTGTAAAGTCACACAGCAGAAAGTTTTCTGGCCTCTAAAATTTTCCCTGGTCAGAGTGGGAGAGGCATTTTATTTTACAAAGGTGAGTTCACATATCAAGAAGTTTTCATCAATGGAGTCTTACCATATGGTTTATTAATTTAATAACAATTTCTCCAACATCTTCCTGTGTCTCCTGTGCACCAGATGATCATATTGCTCAGGGTGAGGTCATGCATCTGTGGGTTAGTGGATGCCTTAAAACTAGCAACAGCTCTGTTTGAGGAATCAGTCAGTCAACAAATTACTGAGTTCCTATTATTGTTAGGTAGTGTGTTAGGCCAAAGGAGTCAATATATCTGGAACTCCAGAGAAGTATAGTTCTCCAGATATTTCTTCTGGAGAAGTGCACTTCTCCCCACCCTTACTGCTACCCTCCTAGACCCAAACCACCACCCCATTTCCTTTGCTCTACTGTTAGCAAATCCCAGTGGATTTCCTGGATTCTTTTTTTGTCCTTTTCTAATCTAGTCTTCACATTGCAGCTACAGTGATCTTTCTAAAAAGCAACTGTAATTCTCATTGTACTGAGAATAAATTCTGAAATCCTTGATATTCCTATGTGCTTTGGTCGCTCACCTCTCCCTTTTCATCTCATACCACTATGACCTGCGCTCACCATTTGTCAGACATGCTGGCTCCTTTCCAGTCACACTGGCTTTCCCTTCCTCACGTACCAGCTGAGGTCTCTTCGTAGGGTCCTGTTCACTACTGGTTTAAATCCACATTTCTTTGCCTTGCCAACTCCTACTCAAGTCTCCTCATCACAGTTCATGTTCCTTCTTCAGAGAGGTCTTCAACTTCCTTTCACTAAGTGGGTTCCATCTCTTACGCTCTTTTCTAATACCCCCTCTTTTCCTTTACTACAACTAAACCAGTTTCTAATTATAGTTTTACTTGATCATGTCTTTTTGAGTAGATTTTGAGTTCCATGAGGACTGGGACCCTTGTGGTCTCTACCCAGCATGATATCCCAGCGCCTAACAATGCCTCACACAGAAGCTTTGAAATCTGGATGAGTGGGCAGGACTGGACTAATGGACTGAAATGAATAAACAGGACCCACGTTCTATCCTCATAGTTTATTCTGAGGGTGTAAGATCAGTTGAAAGGCAATTTAAATACATCTTGATAAA